TCACTCTGCTGTGAGTATCTCTAGAGCAGTCTGAACTCAAACCCATCTCACAAGCCCTTCCTCCCACTCTTGCCTTGGCAGCCCTTGTAAACGTTGACCCTGGGAGGAGAGACTCGGGCTGTGCTCAGCCCTTTGCGTGTGGCTTTTGTTTCTGCAGCTTTGGGGCTGAAGTTCTGCTCTGCTCCTCCCTCATCTGCGGGCCTGGTTGGTTTGTGTGCTCAGGGCTTGCATCCCTGCAGACAGCCTGGGACAGAGGGGACAGCGAGGCTGGCATCACTGGCTCGGAGGGCAGCCCAGAGAGCCCAGGCTGCTGCCCTGGGCTCGGGGCCGGGGCAGTTCTGCTCTCTGCACAGGGCACTTGGAAGGAGAGCTGGGATTCCTGGAATGGTGTCAGCTCTGCAGCGCATCCCCTGCGCTGCCCTGGGGTCACCCCTGAGGCAGCAGGAGCAGAGACGAGCGCCTGTCCCTGGGAATGCCAGCCTGGAGGATGGAGCGAGCCCGCTGGGGCTGCCTGCGGAGGAGGCGCCGCACAGAGCTGAGCTGGGCTGCAGGGAACGGGGCTCCAGTGCACTCACACAGGGCAGCAGTGCTTCTACACAGCACTCGGACCCACAGCAGCTCTCTTAAAACTGAGAAACTTAACTTAAAGGAAGACTTAACTTTCCCTTCTGCTGCCTCCTTGAGGAAGGAACGCAGCTGTTAACTGCATCTGTCCTTTAAACCCATTTCACTTTTCTCAAGGTGATGAGCTCTTAACAAGGCATTAGAACTTATTTTATGAAATTGAAAATCCGTGCATGCTTACATATACAGGCAAGTGCTAAATATCCCTTTGAAGATTTTTTGTTATCTTCAAATTACCTGTGGCATTCTAGTTACAGACTTTCCAGAAGTCTTCTGAGCACGTGTTCCTTGCAATACAGCTGTCACACTCAGATACTGGGGTGTAGTTGCATGTGGTAATGCTAGAGAGGAAAAAATCCGCTTTAAAGTAGCTTCATAAATGGCTTCCAATGCTAACACGAGGGCAGATGTGTTGGATGGTAACAATATTCTGGGATGCTGTAGAAGTATGCAATAAATGGCACAGCTGGTCCCTGGGGAGGTGAGACTGCAGCCGAGATGTAGGAATTCAGACTCCTTGTGCAGCTCTGACAGATCACTTGTGTACTTTCCTCTCACACAGGAGATAAATTTGTCTTTGGGGACTTGATGTCGTGTGCTTGATTTAAAAGTGCTTTCGAGCCATGAAGCACAAAGCAATTAAAGTGCTACTAAACCAGCAGTTCTTATACCCAGTTCAGAAATGTTGCTAATAAGATATAATTTCCTGTCTTTCCAATTAACATTCCTTTCTATCGAATACTATTTTATTACCTGATAGCAGAAGGAAATACCTTGCATTTCATCAGTGAGGGGCTTGTTTCAGGCTCTGGGGTGTTGTGTTTAAGGTGTATGAGTGTATTTAGTGTCCCCATATCAGAAGGTGGTTCTTGTCCTGTGAGGTGCAGTGACTCCTGCAGAGTGCTCTCGTGAGCACCTGGCAGTGCCCAGGTACTGATAATGGCATTTTTGTAATCACTGCTGGAATGGCAGCTCGGAGCTGAGAACAGAGAGCAGCAGCTGACGTGAAAGGAGCCAGAGAAGGAAGGGACACCCCCCAGTGCAGGGGTTATTTTATAAATGCCATGTGGTTGGTGTGCTTACAACACACAAAGCTGGTGTGCATCACAGTCTGGCCTGTCTAAATCAGTGCTGAAAGTGGCCCAATAGCCACAGCTGCAAGAGACAATGGAGGAAAAATAAAGAGCAGGAGGCAAATAGGAGATTAACTAATGAAGGAGGTGAGCGTCCCAAATGCTGCAGAAACGAATACCTAATTCTGCAATGGCCACAAATTTGTCTGTTCCATGAAGCTGTATAAGCTGGTCAAAGGAAATATCCTGTCTCTAGCTGCAAGCCTGGTCCCTTCAGACCTGTGTAGCCATAGCAGTAAGTTCTAGGCATGAGAAGAGTATTCTTTTTTTGTACTGAATTTTTAAAAAATTGGGATTTCTTTTCTGTTGGAGGACACAAATTATTTGAAATTCTAAAAATGCTAAGGAGAATGAGCTGAATATAGAAATATACATTCCTCTGACTTTCTGAATGCTGCATGAAATGCTTGGTGTTGTAATTCTGAAATTTAAAAACCTAATTGCTTAAATCTTGAGAAAACCTCATTACTAAATCTGCCATTCATACTCTCTGTCCTGTGCAGCAAAATGGGAAAAGTAGATATATTTTTGCAAACTCATGAGTTTGTAAATGAGCTGAAACTTAAAGCAAAAAACTACTCGCAAAAGACCATTTGGGTTTTATTAAACACGCTATTAACTGTCTTTCAAAGGTGCTTCAGGTGGTCAATAACTGGACCTATGGTGTAGAAAGGGAGGAGGAAGGGGGTGAGGGCAGGACCGGGTCTGAGCTGGGCGCGTCTCTAACCTCGAATCCTTCCAACAGCCGCAAGCGGGGACGGGGCAACGCCGAGCACCGCGGAGCTGCGGGTTCCTCTGCAGCGCTTTCATT